CAGATGTAGAGCGGGCCGCTTCCAACATGTGGTCCTAGCCCTGGCGCCGAGCACCATCGTTTTCGACAAGTGCAAAAGCTTCACGGCTTAAGGACAATCGCTGGTCAAATTGCGGTTCTCATTTGGGCGCCGCCCACGCTCGTTTCACACATTTGCCATCGTTTCACGGATTGACGGTGGGCGGTTTTCAATCTGACCCTCTCCCTATAGCGCCGCGCGCACTGGTTTGAAAACGCGGCACAGTTTCACGGATTGACGGCGGGCAGTTTTCAAAATGTGGTCTTTTTTGTAGTGTTGCGCACATTCCCAAAACACGTTGCAACATTTTCACGGTTTGAGGGCAGCCCCCGTTGAAAATGTGGTTTCCGTCCCGGTGCCGCGATAATTCGCCCCAAAAAATTGCAGCAACATGTTCTCCGTTTCCCATTATGAATGTACCAAACTTGGTATTTTGGAGCACGTCGGGACTGTCAGGGCGCGATAGTTACGTTGATTCGTTGTGTTGACGTCTTGGGTACGGTGCTCCTGCACGATTCGGGATCGTCCAGACGCAACAGTCAAGATGATTCGTGGCGTTGAATTTCCGCGAATTGTGATTGGGCACGCGTCAATATGTTCCAACACTTTTGCCCTAACGGGGTATTACCATGAGTGGAAAAGAATGCTTGCAGGGGTCTGTGAAGACAACTCTGGAGGCAGCCATTCCAACATAATTGTTGAGTCTTGGATTTGCAATGAGTCTCTGTTCCTCCTCCTCCTCCTCCTCCTCCTCTGCCTCCTCGTCCTCCTACTCCTCCCCCTTTTCCTCCTCCTCCCCCTCCTCCTCGGCGTATGTAGCTCGATCGGGGGGCTTGCCTGGCTGCTTGTGGGCTCTTAGGGTTTTGGTGTTGCCAAACGCGTCCCTGGCCCTGGGTGTTCCCAGGAGTTCCAAGGAGGGCCCCCGTTGCTTGCCTGTGCCAGCTCGTGTTCTGTGCACACTGATTTCGGGGGGAGGGGGCCCTTGTCACAGGGGTAGCAGCGTGCCGCCTACACGAAGCCGCGCTGCCGCCTGACAAAAAACGGATGGTCCCCACCCCCCGTAATGTCCGCTTGCCTCAGCGGCTGGCGCGGTGTTTGCCTGGATTCGAGGTCTGGTGCATGCACTCGCGACTCTTTCAGCCAGCCCGCTCCCGATTCGGTTGCGCGTCTTCCGGCTGCCCGCGCCCACAACGAGGCCGAGAGGGCCCCAAAGGCTCCAAAGTGCAAAGAAGAGCTGGGTGCACCTTGGGCCAGGGATGCTTTGAGGTACCTATCTTGAGGGCTCCGAGGCGCGCACCCCAAGGCGCACCAACAGCCGGAGTCTCCATTCCGTTTCGGATGTGCAGACGAGGAGTGCCACGTGTTGATCGCCTCAACCCGCCAGCTCGTCCAGCTCGTCCAGTCGGGGTCCCTTCGACCTCGCAGGGGGGGGAGGTATGTGGCCACCCCTGCCTTTTGCATGCGGCACTTCCCGTCTGCAGAGGTTGGCCCAGGCGGCGCTTGTAACCGCCGGGCCCAAACATCTGCGTCCGAATTCTTGCGATCTCTCCTTGCCCCTGGTTTTGCTTCCATCCTCTCCCAGGGCGGGGTCGCGGCCGCCGCGGGGGCAGGTGAGCGTTGAGTCGGTTGCCGACGCGCTCGCCAGACGGCGGGCGGAGGGGCTGCAGGAGTCGCAGGCATCACGGGGGAGATCACTGGGGAGGGGGGGGGGTAGGACTGTGTACAAGGAGAGGGATAAGAAGGAGAGAGAGAGAGAGGGAAATCAGTGTGCGCTGGGGATGCGCAAGGGGAGAGAGGGAGGAAGAGAGGGAAAGAGAGAGTGAGAGAGAGACAGAGGGCGAGAGTGCGAGCGCTCGAGAGAGTGGGACGGAGGGAGAGGAGGAGGCGAGGGAGAGGAGCAGTCAAGAGGAGGCGGGCGGAGCGCGGGGATAAAAAGGGGAAACGAGCGGTCGAGGAGAGCGGGGCGGCCGGAGGAGGCGCCCCCTTCGTGAGGGCCGCACGGTGGCCCGGGTGCCCGAGGGGAGGTGCGGCGCCTTTGCTCCCGTGCCCGCCCTCGGGCGGGAGAGGGAGAAGGAGGAGGGGGAGGAGGGGGAGGAGGAGGAGGAGGAGGAGGAGGAGGGGAGGAGGAGGGGGGGAGGGGGAGGAGGAGGAGGAGGAGGAGGGAGGAGGAGGAGGAGGAGGCGGAGGAGGAGGAGGAGGAGGAGGAGGAGGGGAGGAGGAGGAGGGGGAGGAGGATGAGGAGGAGGAGGGATCAGGATGTCAGGCGATCGCAAACATGGATCAAGGGGGCGTGGATTAGCGGCGGGTCCCGTTTCCATGAGAAATCTCGGATTTCCGCCGCCGAACGAGGTGGCACCGGCCGCATTTTGGGGAGGGCACCTTCCCCGATCCATGGATTTGGCGACCGCGCGCCAAATCCATGGATCGTTCATCCATGTTTGCGCGCCCCCGAGGATTAGGAGGAGGGGGGGGGGAAGTCAGAGGAGGAAGAGGGTACCCATACCACTGCCCTGGCCTCGATTTCCCCTGTTTGGGCCTCCGTGGAGGCCCTCGCCGCCACCGCTGGATTCGCCTCGGAATTCTGGTCAGAACGCACGCCGGGAGGGGTCCGGGGAGTAGTGGTATTGGTACTGGTTCCCCAGAGGAGGGTGAGAAGGGGGATGAGGCGACGGCGGCGGTTCGGTGTCGGGCCGAAGATCGAGCTATTCGATCTAAAGACACGCTCCACCAGCATAGGGAGACGTGCGACCTATCTTGCGACGTAGAAGTCAAGTCGTAGATGAAGGAGGAGGCTCCTCCTCCTCCTCCGCCTCCTCCTCCTCCTCCTGCCTCTCTTTCTCCTCCTCCTCCTCATTCCCCTCCTCCTCCTCCTCCCCCTCCTCCCCCTCCTCCCGCAGGCGGCGGAGGATGATTGGGGAGGAGGAGGAGGAGGAGGAGGAGGAGGAGGAGGAGGAGGAGGAGGAGCCGCTGGGCGCGCGGCGGTGCCGCCGCAGGCGAAGAAGCCGTTGCTGGTCATCGAGTGAGCCGCCGCGACGCGGCGCTCGGAGGGCCTCGCGTGGAACAAAAAGGCGATGCCCGCCCGAGGACCTCAGCAACGGCTCAGAACACCCCTAATCAGCACTTGGTGATACTGTACCGAGGGTTCCTGGCTTTTTCATTCAGCACTGCTTGGAAGAAGGCCCTCGTGGAAAAAAAGGCGATGCCCGCCCGAGGACCTCGACAACGGCCCAGAACACCCCTAATTCAAGCAGTGGCGAAGCGTCCTGGCTCGCCCATAGGCCTACTAAAGAATAGTCTAAGAACCTTTTGTGGTTTATGCGAGGTGTTCTTAGACCATTCCTGGCTTGGACTGTCGTGTTTTAACAAATCGGGCTTATGCTCTAAGAACATGTCGTGGTAGGCCTATAGGAATGCCGGGACGGTCGGTCCCTGCTCAACTAATAAGCACTTGGGGATACCGAGAATTACTTGCTTTCTCATTCAGCACTGCTTGAAAGAAGGCCCTCGGGGAATGTCGGAGTCGGGTTCGGCGGGTTTGGCGCACCAGAGACCCATGAGTGGAACGCCAGAAGCGCCGGAGAGCGGCCATACGTTCATGCAAGTTAGTGGTCAGTGCCTTGAAGACTCTCGCAAACTTTCTCACACTGTCGTACGAGCCTTGGGGGCACTTCACTACGTTATGAAGGTATGCTGGCGGATGCGGCGACCTTGATCCTGGCCATGCCTATCATGGACCGAACATGTGTGTAAACTCCGTTCCGAATAGGTCGGGAGGTGGTAAGCACCGATCCGGGGCGCAGGATTCGCGTTGCCGACGTTGGCTTCATCACATCGCTATCGCCCTATCCAGGAGGAAGAGGTGGGGGGGCGGTGGAGAATATAGCCTCGCGGGCCCCTCAGTTTTCGCCAATTGTCTTGGCCTTCTCTGTTCCGCACTACTTGCTGCCAGAATTCGCTGCCACTTTGAACTAAGTCGAAGTCATGTGTTCTTGTTGTCCGAGGAACGCTACAATCTGACGATATGAATTCTGCCTCATGCTAAATTGGGAGGTCGAGTATAGACGCTGCGGGAGGATCGCGCCCTCATGGCATGCCTGAGGAAATCGCATGAACAGCTTTCTGTTCAGAAAGTCTCGGAGTTCCGCGCGGATCTTGTTTGAGGATCGGCGCCCTAGTTCTGTTTGTTTGTGCCGTGTTGTTATTCCTCCTGGGAAAGGCTCCTGGAGGCCCCAAACCGCAGACAAAAATGGAGAAGGAGGGATGGGGGGAGAGGACGATGGACGGGTGGAGGGTGAATGGCGGCCGGAGGGTGGATCGCCATCAAGCAGACGGATCTTGAGGCACGGTGGTTTTGAGGTTTTCTTCCATTTGCGGGCTCCGGGGCGCCATCCACGGGCCCCAAGACCGTCAAACAAACATGTCGGATGAATTCTTTTGTTTCGAGCATCTGGAATTAGGACCCAGTACCTTCAAGACCGTGTTCTTATATGGCAAGCGAATAGAATGAGGACCTCCGGCTTCAGGCGGCCCCGGAAGGCAGATACGTAGACATGCGGGTTTATTGAAAGTATGCTCGCTCTCGACCTGTGCCGTAAGAGAGCATGCAGGGTAGGTGTGCTGGAGAAGGAGGAGTAGCAGTAGAAGGAGCACGGGGATGATGCGGACGTGGCCGAGGAGCACGATGGGGGAAGGGAGAGGGATATGCGGAATGGGAGGAGGAGGAGGATGACCAGACGGACGAGGAGGAGGAGGGTGAGGAAAGCGGAGGAGGAGGAAGGGGAGGAGTAGGAGTTGGAGGGAGCGAAGGAGGAGGCATAGGAGGAGGAGGAGAAGGAGGAGGAGGAGGAGGTAATTTTGCGGAGGAGTAGGAGAGGGAGAATGAGGAGGAGGAGAAAGAGGAAATTCGGAGGAGACAGACGGGACAGAGGCGGAGGAGAAAGGGCAGGAAAGCAGCGACGACAGTGGAAGGGACGACGGGACTGTGGTGGGTTGCCAGGTGCCCAACGGCGACGTGGGCGCGGCGACGCAGCTCCTGCTGAACGACAGAGGCGCGGACGGATACAGGGCCCGCGCTGGCGCGGCGGCTCCTCCGCCTCCTGCTCCTCTTTCTCCTTCTCCTCCTGCCACCTTCTCTTCCTCCTCCTCCTCTTCCTCCTCCGTAGCCATTTTGGCTCAAGCCATTGGGCTCTGAGACTGGCCGCGGTTCGCCCTTCCCCAGGGTTCTGCTTACCGTATCTTTCGCTTTTCTTCGGCATGGCGCTCATTCAGCTGCCCGTTGCGCAGGCAGTCTTCGGAGCGGCTCATGCTGGCATGGAGTTGGGCTTATCGGCCAAGGCCATGGGCAACTTGGTAGCAGCAGCGGCGCGGGGTGCGCTGCAGGGCGTGTCCGCCATCTCGGTGGCGCACGTCGAGGCGTTTGAGACGGGCTCCACCCTCGACAAGCTGGAGGAGGCCCTACACGCCGTGAAGAAGGGGGTAGGGATGGAGGCGACGCCGTCCGCCCTTGAGGCCAAGCAGCAGTTTCGGCAGTTGGGCAAGTCCGAGCTCGCGTCCAAGCTTGGCAAGCTCAGCAAGATCCGCAACACCATTGGGCACCCCCCTGCAGGCCTGGTGTGCGACATTGCGCAGGCCTTCGAGGAGGAGAAGGAGGTAGGTAAACCATGCACTGTCTTCTCCACGGGCTGCCAGGAGAAGAAGTTGAAGGACAAGGTGAAGTCGAAGGGCAAGAAGATCGTGGACGCGCAGGTCGAGGCTGGGGTGTCGCCGAGTGGCGTGGAAACCAAGTGCGACGTGGCGGCCCCACTGGAGTACGACGCGAAGCAAATCGAGGTCGCGGTCGTGGAGCCGCCGCCCAACCTCATTGACATCTTGCTAGAGAAGAGTCGCGAGGCCGTCGAGCTGAAGCGTCACCTCGAGCTCGCACAGGCTGCCCATCTCGAAGCGGCTGAAGCCGCCGTTGAAGCGGGGCTGGACGTCCAGGAGGAAGTACGCCAGCGGCAACTCGCTGGGCAGCGTGATGGGCTGGGTCAGGCGGTGGGGGTCCGGCTCCCCTTCGGTGGTCCCGCCGCTCTTCCCGGCTCCCTCAGGCGGTGGGGGCCCGCTATTCCCCTAGCATCGGCGTCTTCGGCATCTCGTCGGTGTGCGAGTTCAGGTCGCCAGCGCAAGGGGCGCTGTGGCCGCGTGAATTCACGCTCGGAGTGCGGAGGCTCGTGTTCCTCCTGCGCTCCGCCTGCTGGCTGCTCGGCGTCGCGGAGGCCCGTGTTCCTCCTGCGGCCGAGCAGCGCGACGAATTCACGCGGATGCGGAGGCTCGTGTTCTTCCTGAGTCCGCCTGCTGCTCGGTGGCGCGGAGGCTCGTGTTCCTCCTGCGACCCGAGCCGCACCGCCGTGGTGCTGCGGAGGCTCGTGTTCCTCTTGCGTTCCAGTGGCTCGCGAGGACGGGACAGGGTCCCGATTGGTCATTCCTCGGTCACTCCTCCTCTTCCTCCTCCTCCTCCTCCTACTCCTCCTCCCCCTCATCTTCATCCTTGTCCCCCTGTTCCTTCTCTTCATCCTCCTCCTCCTGCCACCTTCTCCTCCTCCTCCTCCTCCTCCTCCTCCTTGAGGTCGTGTCGTCGTCTCCTCCCCCTTGGCTTGGGCGATCTGCTAAGCCCGCGCGCCCCCTCCCCTAGGGCACGCGGAAAGGGCCAGCAGCCGCTCCCCCCGGACTGACCCGCAGGGACTCGTGATGTAAGGGAGCGAGCCTCTCTTCCGGGGCCACCTCGGAGCTCGGTCCTTGAGCTACGTGGTATGCCCCCTGCCCTGCCGGCAAGAGTGAGAAGGCAGGACTTCAACACAACCGATGGCAGGGGATTTTGGCAGAAGTGCGTGCGACACCTGGGTAGGTGCTTGGACGTTGCACCCCCATTCATGCGGATGTCCATGTCCTTGTCCTCCTCCTCCCCCTCCTCCTCCTCCTTCCTCCTCCTTCCTCCTCCTCCCTCCTTCTCCTTCGCCCTCCTCCTCCTCCGCAAGGAACAGGTCGGAGGTTCTCCTTCGGGTATTGTCTGGTCCCCGAACCACTGCCCTCTCCTTTTCTTTCAAGGCGGCGCTCCCCTTTCTTTGTGTTATATTCCTCTCTCTCTCTCTCTTTCTCTGTCTCTCTCTCTCCTTCTCTCTTTCTCTCCTGTTTTGTTGTTTTTTGTGTTCTCTCTCTCTCTCTCTCTCTCTTCCTCTCAAACTCAGACTCAAAGAAAATAAGAACAATACAACAACACAACCAACAACTATGCACATAAACTTTTGGCGCTCCGCGCGGATTTCTTGGGTCTGCGCAGGGGGCCCTCTGGTAGCGCCTCCAGCGCCGTCCCTGGCGCGCTCCGCGCGCCAAGGAGGGGGGCCTTCGTCCACGTCTCCGCGTTTACAGCGTCGCTCCGTTTATCGTGTTTTTGATTCCTAGCGTGGTTTCTTATGTATAAATGCGTTTGTAGAAGTTTTTTCTGATGCTTATAAGCGTTATCCTGCGTTTCGTGAACTATTTATGCTCCTAGCGTTTTATCTTCTCCTATTCTCGTCCACGCACATGCCTCGGGCCATGATGCGCCAACCTCCCTCTTCCTGCCCCCCCGTCCTTCGGCGTGCCCGGGAGGTGAAACGCCGCCAGCAGCCTGGGATCAGCCGGCATCGAGCGACCCATGCAGGGTGGAAGGACCCACGCGGTGTCACAAATCCAAGGGCGGCCTGAGCGACCCCCGGCCGACCGTCCCCTTCTGCGACGACCCCCTCGCAGCGCTTCAAGATGTGGACGGGCGGTTTGCGGGACGCCTCGGGGGCACGCGGGTCATCACGGTAGGGGTTCGTCACGGAAGCGGTGGGCCAGGCCGCGCCCAAGAAACCAGTACCGATGTCGTCGCGGGATGAGATTGCCGTGCCTCGCACCGCTCGTCCCGTTGTCCTCGTTCTCCGAGGCCCCACCGTGATGTATTGCCGTCCGACGGAGCATGCTAATGCGTTCGCCGTTCGGCTCGTCACTGGCGCGATTAAGTGTTTAGTTTTTCACCCATTACGAAGATTGAAAATCAACCTTGGGGATGCCATACATGGTTTTGCACGACGAGTAGATTCAGCATGCGTTTCTTATGCCGACGCTGCATCACTGCGTACAAACCGGCAGAATAGTAACACGTATTTGGAGGTTATTGGTTCGGTTAGTTGTTTGGGCTAGGAGTGGAAGAAGTTGACGCTTGTACGACTGCCGACAGTGACCTCTGTGGCGCACCTTTCTTGACTCGTGCTTCACCTATCGCATACACAACATACCGTCGAAGGCCACCACCGCCAATTCTCGTTGTTCGCCAGACGTGTCTTCACCAACCAGCGCCCTGCTTGTCTCACGAGTTTCGCCCTCCAGAAGTCGGCCGAGGCTAACTTCTGCCGCTCATCTCTGTTTCGTTGAACCCTAGCCAGTCTTTCGAATTGCTCGGTCCCCAAAGCAGCGCGATGTTGCAAGCACTGGTGAATGCACCAGTCAGTGGGCAATATGACAGCGTGGCGTGAATGGTTTCTGTATCGTGTCGTATCCTCGTTCTCCTTTTCTCGTTCATCTTCGGGCAGGCCCCGAGAGACAACGGGCCCGTTTCCGTCGTCTGCCTCCCTTTCGTCTCCTCTCGTCGTCGTCGTCGTCATCGTCGTCGCTGTCCTGCTTATCCTCCACCGCTAAGTCCTACTTTTGCGTTTCACCTGCCCTTCCCTTCTCCCCTCTGCTGAGATCGTTTCCTCCTCTTCCTCTCCCTCCACCTCCTGCTCTCCATCCGGCTTGCTCCTTCTCCCGTCTCCCTCTCTCCTTCCTTTCTCCCACCGTTCCTTCCTCTTCCTAGACTCGCTATCACCCTCGTCTCTCTTCAGTTTACTCTGCTTCTCCCTGTTGCTTCTGCCACAATGTTTGTCTCCTCGCCTCAACCGTTCTTCCCTTTCTAGTCAAATCCTCCACCCCCCGTCCTGATTAGCAGGCTCCTTGCTTGTCCCATCGCCGCGCTTCTGCCCCTGTTTTGCTCCTCCTCCAGTGGTGTCCTCTCTTCTCCGCACCCCTGCACTCCCTTCCCTCAGGGCCAACGGCAGGGAGGGGGGGGGGACCAGCCCAGGGCGGGAGGTATCCACCCCCACTCCCTCCTCGCCTGGGGCCTCCCGCACCGCCCCCACGGAGCGTGCGCATCCGCGCTCTTTGGGGCCCGTCGCTGCTCCGTCGGCGAGACGTCGCCGCTCCCGGGACTCGCTGCCCGGAGCAGGGCTGTCCTACTGGACGTCAGCGGTACTTCCCTTCCCCTTTCGCTCTGGCAGGGAGGCACACAGGCAGACAGGCAGAGCAGCTCGAAGGAAAGAAAACGACCGCAAGACGGACAAAAACCACGTCGAGATCCGGCCCTGGCCCTGCGCCAGTCCCCCCTGTCTCGACCTCCCTCCCGCCCTCTCGGCCAGTCTCCCCCCCCCCCCGGTGCCCGTCCCCGCTCGCCCCGGTCCCCCCCCCCTCCCCCTCGTGGTCTTTGGCATCGCCCGGACCCGTGCACTCTTTGTTCCCCGGCGAGGACCTTTGAGGAGCATCCTAGATCATGCAGTCAACCCGCATAGTAAGGATGGCAACCTTCCCAAGGGTAACCTTGCATCCTTGCCTTCTCGGTCCACCCTTCGCCGCTTTCGTCGGCCGCGCCCCGCTCGAGAAGCTTCGAAATGGGCGTCCAAGGCTCTTGCATCCTTAACGCGCATCCTTATTATACGGGTTGACTGTACAGGGTCCGGCTTGCATAAGGCGCCCTTACTTTTCAAACAGGGATTCGGTCGATCCTTTGCTTGGCATGCGTTATGATACCATGTTGGCGGCGAGCTCCCTTTGTGTTCTTTCGGCCTTCCTAGACTTACCTGGAAAAACAGGGGCTTCGTTCCTCATTTATCGTTCCTTAGGTCAGGCCGAATACAGTCAACGCGCTTAGTCAGGTCGCGCGCCTTGATCTAGGATGCCCTTGCGTCCTTGCCTCTGTGGCCTGTCCTTTGCCGTTTTCACTGGTCGCCGCCGCCCAAAGAATCGCAACTTCGGCCTCCAGAGGTCTTGCGTCCTTACCACGCGTCCTTAATTTACGTTTTGACTGTACTGTATGGCAAAAAACACGCGCGAACACACAACAATCAGCACGGGGGGATGGACGTCCGAGCGGCGGCAAGCCGGGGGGAGGCCTCACGTCGGTCGACTCCTTGGAGGCGCTGCGCAGCCTGAGGCGCCGAGCGCCCGCGGCCGCCTCCTTCTGGGGCCGGCTTGGGCAGCCTCGGATGTCACTGTGGGGTTGCGGTCGCCCGCTGCTTCTAATTTCAAGCAGTGGCGAAGCGTCCGGGCTCGCCGATAGCCCCACCAAACAATGTTCTAAGAACCGTTTGTAGTTCCCACGAAATGTTCTTAGAACATTTCTGGGTGGGACTGTCTTGTTTGAACACATTGGGTTTATATTCTAAGAACATTGTTTTTGTTATTCGAGCATGCTTGGGTTCTAAGAACATTTCGTGGTATGACTAGGAAGGCCGGACAGTCTGTCCCTGCTCAATAACTGTTGGTGTCCCCCCTAAGGCACGGCGTTTCCGACGCTATTGGGGGCGAGCCAAGAACAGGAGGCCGGAGCTCGGATGCAGCTTGTGCCTCCTTCCTCCTGTGCACGTGTGCCCCTGTGCAGAGGGAGACTTTCTGGCAGTGCTATGTGCCAGGGCGTGTTACGCCGGCCCGGGTCGGGCGTTTTCGGTTCTGCCCTTGGGGGACTGCAAACGTGCAACCTTGGATGTCACTGACGCCTCTGCCGCGTGTGTCGAAGCCCCTCCCGAGCCATCGCAGAGTGCATCTGGAAGGCCAGGATTAAGTCGGGCCCGTCCCTCTACAGGAGGGATATTCAAAAACAGTACAAACATAGTCTGGGGACGATTTTTTGATTGTTTTTCAGCATGTTAGGGTATTTCTTGAGTATTTCAACTTTTCGCACAAGATCCCCCTGTATGGGGGACAGGCCCGACCTAAGGCTAGGAAGGCTGGATGTCCCTTCGAGCTCCAGGAGCCGCCCGTCCCCGTCTGACGATGTGCCGGGCCCCAGGGGATGGGGAGCGGAGCACGGGGGACCACCGATCAGCTCGCACGCCCTTTTCAGGCGATCGAAAAGATGGATCAAGGAGGCGTGGATTAGCGACGGGCCCCGCTTCCATGGGCAATCGAGGATTGCCGCCGCCGAGCGAGGCGGCGCCGGCCGCATCATGGGGAGGGCGCCCCCCCCGATCCACGGATGTGTCGGGGGCGGCAAAGAGGGAGGTGATGATTAGGGGGGGGGATATCATGGCGTGGGCCATGGTATTTCCCCAGATTTCATGGCGCCTCTTTTTGTTTCAATACGTCCCCGGCCCCCCCCTAGGGCCGCGCACATGCCGCCAGCATGATTTGCACCCCCCACTCTTGGACGCCCCCCTCTTGGACGCTCCCGAATTTTGCGACCGCGCGCCAGATCCATGGATCGCCAATTCATGTCTGCGCGCCCCCGACCTCTGACCTCCGCAAGAGCAGGTCGGCGAGCCCATTGCCACCGTGCCTCGTCTGTGTTTCGGGTCCTTGCCATGCCCTGCCACTTGTAAGTCGGGCCTCTCCCTCCACAGGGGGAAAATAAAAAAGCGTCAGGGGACGATTTTGTATTTTTCACTGTGTTTGCATATTTTCTGGGCATTTACATTTTTAGGCGAAAATCCTGCTGTAGGGTAACAGGCGCGACCTAGTGCCACTTCTCCCAGGCCCAGCCGCTTCCGTGATGGCATCGCCAGCTCCAAAAGGAGACCAAGTCTTAAGTCGGGCACGTCCCTCTACAGGAGGAATATTCACAAGCAGTCAATCAAATAGTTTGTGGACGATGTTGTGAGTATATTTTCCCATATTTGAAGATTTTTGGGCTTGTGTGTCATGTTTCTACGGTTCTTTATGGCCAGAGCTTGATTGCATTGCGCCGCGCAGGAAGCTTGAGGTTCGCAGCAACCACCTCAGGGACGTCAGCTTCTTGGAGGCGACTTGTCCCCCTCTCCTTGTGTTGTTGTCGCTCGTCCCGGTGCGTCGTGCTGCTCGTTCGAGGCTCTCCGCAGTCGTCCAGACACCTTTTGCGAGTCGAGGCGATGGACGGCGACAGCTGGGGTTTTTCAGGCTCTCCTCGGGACTCGGCCCCCACCCAACGTGCCCCACGGCGCGAAGTCACTACGAAGGTTGGGGTCGAGAGGTTTGGTGGCTCGCGGACGAGACATATCGTGGTGCCGGATACCTGTATCATGCTGGTTTTGTTTACGTGACAGTTTGAATCCACTTGGCAGAGAGGGAACGAGACGTGACGGATGGGGGTATGGGCGGATCCACCTTCTCGCGTTTGCCTCACATTCTCCCATCCCGGCATCATCCCGCCATCCATTCCTTCTGCATCCCTCCTCCCATTCCCTTCCCTCCTCTCCACCCCGCTCCATCCACCACCTCCTTGTCAACTCATCCCACCCCTTCCCCTCTTCCACCCCCATTCTTCCCCACCTCCTCACTCGCCAAGGCTACTGATTTGCAGTGCCTCCATGGGCACATGTGCGCTCCCCAAGCGGAGCGCGAACGACTCCGAGACGCTCGTCTCGTCTCGACTCGTCTCGTCTCTCCCCTTCCTCCCCCCACCTCCCCCCTTACACTACTATTCACTTTCCTCCACGACGCCTACCCCCTGAGGAGGGGCTGATGGAGGAGGTGATGGAGGAGGTGGCGGGGTGGGGGAAGGATGAGGGAGAAGGATAGAGTAGTGGGAAGGATTGAGGTACAGAATGAGACATAATGATGGAGTAGGGGGGAAAGATTGAGGTGCAGCACGAGGAGGAGTTGGAGGAGGAGGAGGAGGAGGTGAGGAGGAGGGGGAAGGGGAGGAGGAGGAGGGAGAGGATGGAGGAGAAGCCGCCCGTCACTCGGCTGCGCGCGTCGGGGCTGCAGATGAACCACGCGCTGTGCTGGCTGGCTCTCTCGAAGAACCGGCTCGGCAGGATTGCAGGCGCGGCGTCGTCGTCGCCGTCGGCCTCGGTCGTTGTCCTCCTCCTTCCACCACCACCCTTCGATCTCCCTCGGTCTCCTCATCCTCCTCTTGTCCTTACAGGTAATTATTCCTTGCCGCACCCCCAGATGTGTCGGTAGGTAGGGCCAGGAGGTTCGAGTGAAACTTCCGCACCGCTCATGATCCTGAAGTTTGAAATTTCCAACAGGTAGCATGGTGGAGGGCGGCACGTTTACGATCCACAGCTCTCGCCTTAGCGTCGCGCAGATCCGTTTCAACATTTCGCAGCAGTTTACCAGCCTGGAACATATCCCTATCCCTATGCTGGGCATCTCCTCATCACGATGCCGATCTTCGGGATTCCCTTTTTTTTAGGGCAAATCCCTAAGATTGTCATCGCCTTTTGGCTTGTCGATCTTAGGGATAGGGATAAGTTCGAGGCTGGTAAGCAGTGTTCCAAATAGAGGACGGTCCGTTCTAAAATGTGGTTCTCGCTTCGGCGCCGCGCGCATCCGTCCGAAAGTTTGCGACAGCCTCAGGGAGGGAGGCCGGGCAGTTTTCCATGTGTGGCTATCGCTTTAGCGTTAAGTCGGGACGAAAAATCAAAAATATCTCAACAATGATATAACAAAGATACTCCGAAAATAGCCTGGGGACATTTTTTTTGAGTATTTTTTTGACCTTTTTGGGGTATGTTGGGGGTATTTCTTATTTTTCGTCGAAAATCCCTCTGTAGGGGGACACGCCCGACATAACCTTAGCGCCGCGCCCATTTATTCTTAAAAGTTTGCAGCGGTTTCAAGCGTCCATATGGCCGAAGTCCCAGGGATGGCTTGTTTTCACGATTTGGAATTGCCAGAACGCAAGAGTCATCTTCACTCAAGGTGCTAGAGTCCCAGGAATTGCGTTCGGGCGCGACTCAGGATTGTCAGGACGCAACAGTCCCTTTGATTCTCGGCGTTTTGGTACGCTTGGGGGTTCTGATTCTCAGACGGTTGTCTTCCAATGGGGCACGTCCAGCAAGGAATATGAGTTTTGATTGGTTTCTGAAGAGGGAATTCGACAGTTGATTGTAGCATCGTGGATGTATCTTGGGTTTGCAGTGGTCCTCTTCCTCGACCTCGTCCTCTTCCTTCCTGGATACGTTTTTTGTTAATCTCCTGGCGATAACGGGCGTGAAGTGGGGGGGTAGTGAGAGGGCCGCTACTGTCACGATTCGCGCTGGTGCCGTCTGGGAATATATCACATGTCCGGGTACCGGGGGCCCGGGCCCTGGCACCGGAAACCTGAACCCCCTCCAGGGCCTCCCGGACACCCTGTGGGGCCTCACAGCTTTTCCCACGGTGGCTCCAAACAGCTCAGGAAGGCATGGCAAAGCGACAAGAGCGGCCCCGCAGGGCCGAAGGCGCTTCAAGAGCGGTTCAAGAGCGCTCACGATGGCCTCAAGACAGCCCAAGAAGGGGCCTCAGAAGGCCCAAGAGAGCCCCGGGAGGCCCCTCAAGACAACCCCAGGGGACCAACATCGCCTCGTCTCCTTCGGGAAAACGCACATGTTGAACATATTATTTTTCTGGGCCATCACAGCGTCCGAGATGGCGCAAGAGGCCCCCAAGATCGCCTCAACACGGTGCAAGAGGCCCCCAAGAGGGGCCCAGGACGGTCCAAGACAGCCTTAAGACGGCCTCCAATGCAGAGAAGACGGCCTCCAAAACAGATCACATGGCCCTACGACGAACCGATATTGCCTCCAAGACGACCCCAAGGGTCCAAGAGGCCTTCAAGTTCGCCCGCTCTGCCCCCAAGACGGCCCAAGATGGACCCAAGACGGCCCAAGATTGCTTCAAGACGGCTTGAGAGGCCCCCAAGATGGCCCCAAAAGACTTCCCAGAGACAATCCAGGAGGGCCAGAAGAGGCCTACGTCGCACCCCGCATATGCGGATAAGAGTGAGGGGGCGGTGGTGACGTCGGCAGCCTGCGAGACTCTGAAGAAGCCCGCCACAGGCGCCAAAGTTTCACAAATTATACAACGAGCCCACTGCAAGCACCGATCTTTTCGTTAAATCAATGTGGGTATGTCGCAGATGGGTCGCAAATGGGTCGCAAATGGGTCGCGGCTGGGTCGCTGTTGGGTCGCGGGTGGGTCGCGGGTGGGTAACGAGTGGGTCGCGGGGTGGGTTGCGGGTGGGTCGCGGATGGGTCGCGGGGTGGGTCGCGGGTGGGTCGCGGATGGATCGCGGGGTGGGTCGCGGGTGGGTCGCGGGGTGGGTCGCGGGGTGGGTCGCGGGTGGGTCGCGGGTGGGTCGCGGGTTGGGTCGTTGGTGGGTGGCGGGCTCGGTCGCGGGTGGGTCGCGGGGTGGGTCGCGGGGTGGGTCGCGGTTAGGTCGTTGGTGGGACGACGACAGTAAAAACAACAACAACAACAACAGCAACAACAACAACAACAACCATTCTGGGACCGTTCGCCCTTATATGCTCGAGTGTACAATAACGCATATTTCCCAAACCCTCGATACCCGCCCTCTTCGTCTTCGATCGAACCCCTTTTGGTGGGTATACTTTTCCTCCCTGCAGGCCGGGCCCCGGCAAGCGGCGGGGCGGCCGGGGACCGTCGGCCTGACCAGCGGCAGCGCTGATCGGCGGGGCGGCCGCGGACCGTCGACCCGACCCCAAGAGGGACAGACAGGGGACCGACCACGACGACGACGACGACGACGACGACGTCGAAGACGACGGCGACGACGACGACGACGGCGACGACGAGCGAAAGCGAGAGCGAGAGAGAACGACAGCAGGGCCACGAAGGGCACGAAGTAGGCCACGAAGGGCGACAGCGGGGACACGGGGGCCACGAAGAGCGCGAACGAGCGGGGGCCACGAAATGCAGATACTGCGGGGCCACAGAAGACAACTATGGGGCCACTGAGGGTAGCAACTGGGCCACGTAGGACAGTGAGGGGGACACAAATGGCGACAGCGGGTCCACGAAAAGCACGCACATGGGGCCACAACGGGCGCGACTCCTGGGTGCCTGTGTGTCGGGAGCGCGGCGCTTGGGCAAATTGCAGGACATTCCAACGCAAGGCCATTCTTCAGTAAGTTGCCAGCAAGTCTCCAGCGAGAGGGAGATCGATTCCTGAATAAATTGTAAGGAAGTCCCATGCGACAGCGCGATTCCGGAATCAAATGCGAGGAAGTCTCGGGCGGGTGCGGGGGTCCTGGCTAAATTGTAAGGAAGTCTAAGGCGGGACCCGTTGTTGTTGTAACCCGGGGGCCAGGGGCCCAGTTTGAGCAGGAAGATTTTCCTTGTCAAAAAAACAAGGTGCGAGCGTCCAGGGGCACACTTTGATTGGGAAAAATAGCATTCACCGGTGGGGGGGGGATCAACAATAATGATTCTTCAGAAGTGAAAACTCAACAACAACAATAAGTTTAAGACTGCTCGCCCTTATATATGCTAGAGTGTCCAATTACGCGTATTTCCCACCCTCGATACCCGCCCTCTTCGTCTTTGATCTAACCCCTTTTGGGGGGTATGCCTTTCCTCCCTGCAGGCCGGGCCCCGGCAAGCGGCGGGGCGGCCGCGGATCGTCGGCCTGGCCAATGGCAGTGCTGATCGGCGGGGCGGCCGTGGACCGTCGACCCGACCCCAAGAGGGACAGACAGGGGACCGACCACGACGACGACGACGACGACGACGTCGAAGACGACGGCGACGACGACGACGACGGTGACGACGACGAGCGAAAGCGAGAGTGAGAGAGAACGACAGCAGGGCCACGAAGGGCACGAAGTAGGCCACGAAGGGCGACAGTGGGGACACGGCGGGAATGCGTATGGGGCCACGAAGAGCGCGAACGAGCGGGGGCCACGAAGGGCATGCAGATACTGCGGGGCCACAGAAGGCAACTATGGGGCCACTGAGGGTAGCACCTGGGCCACGTAGGACAGTGAGGGGGACACGAATGGCGACAGCGGGGCCACGAAGGGCATGCACATTGGGCCACGACGGGCGCGACTCCTGGGTGCCTGTGTGTCGGGAGCGCGGCGCTTGGCAAATTGTGGGAAATTCCAACGCAAGGCCATTCTTCAGTAAGTGGCAAGCAAGTCTCCAGCGAGAGCGCGACTCCAGAGCGCCAGGAGATCGATCCCTGAATTACGGATCAGGAAGAGCGAGATTCCGGAATCAAATGCGAGGAAGTCTCGGGCGGGAGCGGGGGTCCTGGCTAAATTGTAAGGAAGTCTGAGGCGGGAACCGTTGTTGTTGTAACCCGGGGGCCAGGGGCCCAGTTTGAGCAGGAAGATTTCCCTTGTCAAAAAACAGGGTGCGAGCGTCGAGGGGCACACTTTGATGGGGAAAAACAGTATGCACCGGTGGGGGGGATCAACAATAATGCTTCTTCAGAAGTGAAAATTCAACGACAACAGCAACAACAACAATACTTTTGAGACCGTTCGCCCTTTTTCTGCTCGAGTGTCCAATAACGAATATTTCCCAAACCTTCGATACCCGCCCTCTTCGTCTTCGATCGAACCCCTTTTGGGGGGTATACCTTTCTTCCCTGCAGGCTGGACCCCGGCAAGCGGCGGGGCGGCCGCGGACCGTCGGCCTGGCCAGCGGCAGCGCTGATCGGCGGGGCGGCCGCGGACCGTCGACCCGATCCCAAGAGGGACAGACAGGGGACCGACCACGACGACGACGACGACGACGTCGACGACAACGGCGACGACGACGACGGCGGCGACGACGACGAGCGAAAGCGAGAGTGAGAGAGAACGACGGCAGGGCCACAAGGACACGAAGTAGGCCACGAAGGGCGACAGCGGGGACACGGCGGGAATGCGTATGGGGCCACGAAGAGTGCGAACGAGCGGGGGCCACGAAAAACATACGTATATTGGGCCGCGGAGGGCAAGGACGGGGCCACTGAGGGCAGCAACGGGGCCACGAAAGGCAGCGAGGGGGCCACGAAGGGCGACAGCGGCGGCACGAAGGCAGGAA